TTAAGTTTTTTATAATTTATATTGGATTTTTAGCGCCATTTTAAACTACCAATTTCAAACAAACAGAACCTTGAAAGAAATTTCATTGCATTTTAAAGGAACTTCGCATTTAGTTCAAGGGTTCAGTCATTATTCGGGGATATATGTTGGAGATGACAGAAATGTGTAATGTAATATGCTTATTTACGTTTGTTGATATATATAAATTATATAAATTTAAAATATAAACCTTCCACCTATTCAACATTTTCAAAGTGTAGTGATCAGAATCAAGGAATTTATTTTATGTGGCCTTACGCAAGACGTCATCAATTGCAACATATTTCCTTTAATACCTGTGTAGAGGAAGAAGAGTATAACCATAATGGAAGTATACCCGAAGTATAAGACTAAGCTGGTAGTTCCAACTATAGTCAATTTATGGAAAAAATAGATTGAATACATGAAGAAATATATTGCTGTACATGCACCGGTAAGGTAGGACCTCCACCACCAATGATAGTCCTATAAGAAGACAACACAAGGTTAGAAATATGTTTTTTATTTAAGCTTACTTTAAAGTACAACTGCAACAATATTTTTGACTTACTTTTTTAGCTTAAATAAATACATTCCATACTTATACCTGCTTGTCACAAACAGAATTTTATATTGGAATATTCAAACCGATTTTTTGCACTTTCTGTGCGAAGTTTTGTTCCGCAATGTTGATGCCCGGATGTCATACAGTTGAATATAAGTTGAATCGTCGTCAAACAAACGATAAGGTATGGAACTTGTGATTTTCTGGGGGAAAATGTACATCTGGCAAAATTCCACAGTGATATGTTCAAGCGCTATATAATTCTCTACAAATGCCCTTCACTCTTCAGCCTTCGTATATCAGTTCAACTTATGACGTCACACGGCATCGTCATGGTGCCGAATCAGAGACGAATAAAGTTCGCATGCGATATCCAATTTGAGAGGCAAAATGTGGCAACTTCTTGAAACATCGTATGTCGGTCAAATATTCGTCAAATTGTTTCTAAAAGGCTTAATTTAATTAAAGGAAAAAGTATAGGTCAAGAAATTCGTTGCAGTAGCACCTTAAACACCACTTTTTCAAATAAATGAGGTCCATCGTAGGAGAATTTCATTTCAATAAAAATTCACAATAGGACGAATAGTCTAGCCTTTGATACTTAAATGCATGTACACAACGTTAGAATTCAACAGTTCTTCTCCTTACCTCGGCACACAGATGGAAGTAGCAAAGTAGAATACAAGTTTCTGAAACTGTTATCATCAGCATTGTGGAGGCAAGCAAAAGAAAACCAAACATGTAATAGATTTGATGCGACCTTTACAACAAAAGAAAAGATTATGTTATATTACTGTGTATGGAGCACATTGGTACTGGGCGTTTTTTCCAAAAAACAGAAAGTGCCCTGTCTGCATGCTCTCCTGTAACACTTAATGAAAGTACGAAACCCATCCCTTGTTTTACAACTATCTGGATTATCTTAACTACAATCTAACAACAACTCCTTAGTCCTCTCTAATATAAAAAACATTTTCTACCCAATTTTGAACCAAGATTACTTTCAACCACAGCAGGAAATAATAGTGGATCCTGGCATCTAGGAAATTTTCAGACCTGGCTTAGTTGGCAGAAAATTGTAGGGCATTGCATAATGCTAACACAAGCACAGGAAATAATTAATTAGGAAGAATATTAGTGAGCTCGGCAGAAAACCTTGACTCCAAAACTTAGGAACCCAGAAACCAAAATACTATTTCTTGCTTTGCATTCAATAATAGAATTTACAACGATGATTTGGGCTCACCAGATGCTATTGAGGATAAAGAAAAGCTGAATGAAGATACAACCAAATGGCAAAACACCTCCTATGGTTATTCCGAAAACTGCATGTCTGTAGAACCTCTAGCAACATAGAACAATAAGATGTTAAAATATATTTAACACACATGTATTTGATGTCTTGAAAAAACAATCAGTATCATGAGGGTGCAAAATCTATGACGTCACATTGTTCAGATAGCTGGCGGAATTTATAATGAGCTTGCAAAATCTATGACGTCACTTCACCGGGCAAGCCTGGGCCAAAGGTGACAGGTAACGAGACCAATTAGCATTTCAATACAACAACGCGACCAAGCACAATCAGGTAACGCCGTGAAAACATTCCATCGTGATTGTTGAACACAGACTATGCATGTGAAGGACGCTATCTGACAGACCTCAGTCTCGTTACCATATATACGTCAAAATAGGGTAGCGTGTTTAATTTCAATTTCAATTTAATTTCGATTGCGTTTAACGTCGCTGTTTTTAAACTCAATCGGAGAATTTTATATACACAGTCTTAGTTGTAATATTTTTTGGCATGAAATAATCAATGTATTTTCACAAAATACTGTGTTGTTGCTATGTGTTGATAAGTCATTAGACGACAAGTCGACAAAGGTTAAGGTAATTAAGGGATTAAGCTAACAGTGATTTGCATAACTAAATGATCCCAATGGATTGATAGGGATATTATGCCTTTACGTGTTTGGGGTGAGCACAATTTATTTGATTTTTATGTCAAGCAAACTGTAATACCTTGGTCGCCGTATGGCATAATTCGAGTCCCTCACATGGCAAACTTTTTTTATCGAAATGAATATATAGCAGAGCTATAGCCGTATCTTCTCGCGGAAAAAATAAATTTCCACAGGTATTTTGAAGGTTTCTTGCGTGATTAAAATACCCACTTGCGATAGCTCAGTTGGTAGGGCGAAGGACTGTAGTTCCAGTTAGGTCATTGGTTCAAACTCAGCTCGCAAGATTTAAAAGCAGGCGTTCTGTTTGGAAAATTTATATGTAGCTCGGAGCCTAGTTCAAAATAACGAACCTTTGAAAGCCTAGCTTGGGGCCTAGTCTAAATAGATTGGAGCCTCACTCGGAGTCAAATTTAAATGAGAATAGAATAGATTTTAAGATTAAATAGCTTGGAGCCTAACTCGAAATATCGAGCCTCTGGAAGCGTTGTCAAGTAATCCCCATGCGTAAAACACCAAGGTTGAGGTAATTAAGGGATTAAGGCAATACGAATTTTCATAAACAACAGGATATTAATGGATAGATAGGAATATTACTACGGCCGGCCGTGGGCATGTTGAGGCGAATAGTCAGTATTAATAGATTTATTACGCGGGCGTAGACCTTAAATCGGGCGCGTGGCTTTGCGGGCAAAAATTTAAAACACATTTATTTCACTTCAAAACGTTTAGAAAGTTATGCTTTAGATAGTGATGTCCCCATTGCCACTGAAGCAAGATTATGAGATGGAGAACTATACTAGCAGTTTATTAAGTGGTCTCGAACTGGCAATTGCACCACGAAACTCGGTGGTGCAATCAGCACACCACCATAGCCCTAGTAGGGGGAAGTGAAACTTAATGGGCAAAGTTGTTAATTTGCAAAGTTTAATGTGCCTAGCTTGTTTAGACGTTAAGATGTGGATGAGTGTATAAATAAAGGCCAACAAATAAAATATTGCCATAAATATTGCCATACAGCCATAGCTCTAGATCTTTTTGAATGTAAATACTAGTAGTTTATATTATGAGCAAAATAAATAAAATTCTCAACATTTTAGGTTAAATGTTCCAGGGGTTGTTCGCATAGTATGTTGATGAGGTATATCTCATTTAGTCAAGTCGTGTAAAACATTCATGAGGATTTAGGAGCAAGCACAGAGACAACTGGGATAGGTCTTGTGTTTACACTACAAACCTACACCTGTCCAAGCTGTTTACTGGGACTTACCTTGAGTGACCTGAGGATGATTTCAGGTAAAGCATTTGTGTGTATAAACATGTTTGGATTGTTTAATCCCAAGACCAATTTCCATGGCAACATGGTAAATCATGTGTGTATATGTATGGTACATGTATGGTGTATTTTTGTGTGTTTATACACCATACTTTGCCGGGCTGATTTTAGATTTTGCTAACTGTTGACAAATATTTTCAGTGAGACCATCAAATGTTTGCCACATATTTTTCAAATGTCATTGATTTTTAAATATCAATACCATCTGTACTGTAATCAGCCCAACAAATTGCAATGTGCAACCATGCCTTTAAATTGTCCAATTTGTTAGACTATGTCTGTAACTGGTATCAAATGCATTGTATGCAGCCAGAGGTAAATCCAGAGTATACCCCATTCCTTAGTGTAAACATAGTAGATTTTGGCAATCAAGGGCAATAGCCTTGATAGTTCAAAACTCAAAAGTAAGGTGAATCACAAACATCAACAGGTGAACCATGCATGAGATGAGATTAGTTTGGTCTGGTTTGTGGGTTATATAATTATTGTCAGCCAGTTACAACAATAGAGCTCTAAAATTTATGTTTTTATCTTCACCATATTTTGCATACTAAAAAGCACTCGTGCATGTTAATTTATATTCCTTCTATTGGCAAAATTTTAGAAACCTACAATCATTAAACATTTTCCAGTTAATTTTCTCCTCTGAGGTAAAATGTATCATCAGTACAAATAAATAGTAGTTTCAACATTCCATATTTATAAAAATTCATTGTATTATTAAAATTCAAGAATATAAAGTTATAAACTTGGCCAGTTTCTTTGACTTTGTTGTCAGAATACTTTTCTTTCAAACTGCAAAAAGGCAGTACATTTCATGATGTGCATCAAATACCAGACATATTAATATTTTCAACTAAAATGATAATATATAATACCGTTTTCGAGGAAAAATAATTATTATCAACGCAGTGATCATTTTGACATAAAATATTTCCCAAATGTCACGCTCGATGGGCAGGCCTTTCAATTTCATTGAGTATAGTACAGCAATTTCCTCATTTGCATCCTCATGTCCGCCATGTTTGTTACAAATTCTGCCAGGCGCTTCGTTTCCTGCAACCTCCCCAAGCACCCCCGCGCGCTCGAACCACTGATCTATATAAAAACACTGTAGTGTGCCCATTTATAGCGCCTGGGTACGAGGCTGCTCATGAATTATTAATGAGTTTTTAATTGTATATAATTAGAATTGTATATATTTGTCATTTCTAATTTAACCATACTGAGTTATTGATATTTTCTTGACATATTTATGTAAAAACCATTACCAGCCGACAATTTAAAAAAATATAGTACAAAACATAATCCGAAGATTAGCATCTTGAAACCAAAAATATGAGTCAAACAAGAAAGTGATAATATTTCGATTTTATTACAAAATCATCATCAGACTAACTATAGTTACAATATATACATGGTCTTATATACAAGTTGGCAAGGCATGATGACATCATCAAACGGAAGACTAAGTCTCAATCAGAACCACGACAGGTGCAGTGAGGATTTAATTAGATCCGAAATAATAAGTTTTTCAAATTCCGAAAGAATGATGTTAGCTAGCACAGGCCCCAGTGCAGACCCCATAAAAAGGCCATATCAGTATAATCAAAAAGCTGATTATTAAACGAGAACGCGGTTTTAGTACACGAATCAAGAATTAGTTTTTCAAAGTCCGTTTCAAACGAGTTGCATAGCAACCAATTTTTCTTCAAAAACGTGGTTAAGAACGATTTTGACAGTTTTGGTTAGCGAAACGTTTGTGAATAGTGAAACAACGTCAAACGAAACAAAGCGATAACCTTCTGGGAAAAGCTCTTTAGGTATAGATTTTATTTCCAAAACCGCATGAAATCAATCGCAAAGAGTGTACTTGTTTTGGGCTAATGGATTCAATAACTTAGCGTCTGTTATCGAGAAATTTACCAACGTTATAGTGTGGTGTTCCAGTTGTGTCAATAATAGGTCTGAACGGTGGCAAGTCGTTGTAATGTTTGTGGACTTTGGGAAGCCCATGTGCTCTACCGAAGTGTGCTGCTTTAGGTCTAAGGAAGTCATAGTCAGATTGAGAAATTTCACCACGTTGTAAAAGAGTGCATATAAGAAGGACTGTAGAGAGTTTAGTCGAGTAAGCGTTGGGTCAGTATCAAGTAACTTAAAACGTGAAGCGTCAGAGAAGAGAGATGTGACAGAGGAAAGATAATCACTGCGTTTCATGACAACAATGCCATCACCCTTGATGTTACTTCCGTTTGATGATGTCATCATGCCTTGTATATAAGACCATGTCATATTGTAACTATAGTTAGTCTGATGATGATTTGATAATAAAATCGAAATATTACTCACTCACTTGTTTGACCCATATTTTGGGTTTCAAGATCTTCGGATTATGTTTTGTATATTTATGTAAATATGATATATGTTATAATATCTACAATATATGAAAATGTCACACAGTAATGAGTGTGACAAGCTGTTTGAAAATTGAAAAATGTATATATGCGTAACGTCAACTGAATTGGGCAATGTAAGTTGGGTAGCGCCAGCGCAAATATTGGGTATTCTATTATATGTATTTAAGGGCTTAGGGAAGGTTATAATTTCGTTCTACATTTATATATACAGTGGAATGGTAATGTTATAAGCACTCACATGAATGGACCTTGGCTACCTGTTAGCCTTTTAGTAAGTAAAATGGCTAATAATATTTTAATTCAATGGCAGTGTTAGGGCAGAGAAAAACAGAAGTACCAAAACTAAGGCGCTTTTTTACAATATTTCCAAACGTTTCACGCGAAAGACGGCGAATAGCCTCGTATCATACATATACGTATTGAATGCAGATTTAAAAATTCCATTGCCAAAAATTCGAACGGGTGAAAACATATTCATTTCACAGATCTAAGGTTGGGATACTTTAATTTATGGTATTATAGTTAGTTGCGGTGGTTATCATAAAATGCTCCACCGTCCGTCGTCTATCCGTCCGCCTCTTTACTACACCCTTAGTACAATACTCTACCTGTTCTGGAATTTGACGAGGGATTTCGTTTGTACACGCTGGTAATTCAATCACCTGGAAAAAAAATAACCAGTGAATAGTTTTACATGTAGGAAAATTTTTAGCATATTAAAATTATTCGCCGAAAGCAAGGTGATTATCGGGGAATATTCACCGAGACGAAGTCGAGGTGAATATTCTCCGATAATCACCGAGCCTGAGGCGAATAATTGTTTTAGTATTTTACACAAGTCTTTTGTGTTTTTTTTTGCAGTTTGGGTAATTGTCGAGGGTAATAGGTCGAGGGTCAAAAGCCGAGGTCGAGGGTCGAAAGTCAAGAGTTGAAAATGGAAATTTTTTTTACTGGAAAATACATGCATGCCGAAACCCCGCCTTGCTGACAAAACCATTGTATTTTCCGAACATGAAGTATTTAAAGTAGTTGTCATGGCAACACGATAATTTCATTAAGAATATTTCGAGGAATAGGGAGTTTAAGCTTCACGTTTCTGGGAACGGCAAACGGCAGGTTTGAACTTTCTTGGCAAAATTTTCGTTGAACGTTTTCATTTCATATTTCTTTCTTGTGTCAAAAGAATAATCATACATTGCAGTTTTAAAACAGCAAGTTAATTTACTCTTGCCTGATATGGTAAATTTTTTCATTGCCCGGCCTTTGCCGTTTGACGTATAACGCGAAGCTTAAGCTCTCTATTATTTATAGTTTACAATTCAAAAATCCCCTAAAAATATCACTTTTAATTACAAAATTATCAATTTCCCAAACATATATTATTAAGTATGATGTTATTATACGTAAAATAACCTTCAATTTAATGTAAAATGTTGTTTATAAAACTAAACTGCCTTTTTCTCTCTGTGAATTTGGTTTTGGAGAAACACATTCTCAACTGGTTCCGCTCCTACCTACAAGATCGTCGTCAACAAACAACCATCCTCAGTGCAACATCTTCACCTAGTCAAGTAACATCAGGGGTGCCTCACAATGCTCAAAAGCAAATAAAATGTTGGGTTTCATCAAAAGATCAACAAGAACAATCAAGAACTGTAAAGCCCATAGGACGCTATATACAGTATAACACTTGTTCGATCGCAAATGGGATATGCTACACAAGTTTGGTCTCCGCAAACCATCGACCTCATCGCTCGCTTAAAACGCGCACAAAGACGCGCTTCCAAATACATTTTAGATCTATTTTTCCTTTGTGAAATAGAAAGACATGTCAAAACTGCAGAAATTGTGTTTAAAATACCAAAGCCAAAGTGTTAACTTTTGTATAGAACTTGTTTACAAGAGACTGAAAGTCAGTGTTGGCTCGGTGACGTTACGCTCGGTTCCAGTCTCCTGGAAAATTTTGTTAAAAATTCTAATGTTTGTACCCAGATAAAAGCATTTTCTCGCATTGTACATGATTAAAAAATAAATATTACCACGATAATCAGCGCATCAAAAAGTAACAGAAAAGTGAAAAAAAATCATACACCAAAATTTCATGCCATAGGCACTTTAATTATTCTTTACACGAACGTATAAGATAATGAATGAATGTAATTAAATCTTTTTAAATCTAAATTTATCTTTTTTATTGTTTTTAAAAGGCTATTTAATAAACGAAATAGAAAACAATTTTTCCGTGTTGCTATAAAGTTATATATAGAAACAGTTGTGGAATTTTGAGAGAAACTCGTGCTCGTGTTCCCACGCAAGTTCTCGTTTCCTCCCAGATTCAAACCAGTGTTGCATTTTTCGAAACTGCTCCTAGTCACAGTATATAGGACTAAAAATGTACATACAGTGAATATTCCATCTACAAAAAGCCCATTTATTAGTTGTAACCGAACGAAATGACCCTAAATTTCGATAACCACTCTGTATACTGCAACAATTCATAACTTACTGGCTTTCGGAAACCAAAATACGCTCCAACACATACGAGCGGGACAGAGATTCCAAACCACAAGGCAAGTAAAGTGATTAATGTTTCAAATGGAATGGCAGCAGAAGACTGTTCGGCCCACAATACCAAGTTTAATACAAAGAAAATTGCGAAGATGATTCTATTGAAAAGATACTGAGAGTAAGATGATTGTATATATACGGGTAGATTACACCAAATGGCAGCCAGAAACATGTCACACTTCTTTGAATCAGTCAATTTCTTTGCATCAGATATTATTTTATACACTCAGTAAAACAATAGGGCCATTTATACGAGACAAAATAAGACGCGACTTACATAAGACGCGACTTAAATAAGTGGAGTTATCGCATAAATGGTTCTCTACGGCTTTATTCTTATTTACTTGCTATGGCTATAATGTTGTTACGGTTGTTTTTGTTTTAAAATGCAAGGCTAATAATTGTACGTTGTTTCAAGTTTCGGGCATGTGTAGTTAGAATGTTTGTCCAAAATTTCTTATTTAAGACGCGACTTACATAAGAACAACTAAAAGTCCTGTTCTTATTTAATACATACATTTATGTTCTTACATAAGAATTTTGTGCCTTTTATACGACAAACTCGCGTCTTATTTAAGTCGCGTCTTATGTAAGTCGCGACTTATTTTGTCTCGTATAAATGGCCCTATTTTTATTATCCTTAAACATGCAATTATCAATTTACTGAGACCTAGGGAAACAGTGTGTTTTGTGAACCCGCCGTTGTTGCCCGAGGCGAAACAGAGCCAATGATGGCGGTCGAGGGGCCACAAAACACACTGTTTCCCGAGGTCTCAGTAAATAAGTGTTTTGATATAGAGTATATAAGTGTCAAAATATGAATAATTGACCGTTTATTGGAGTGAAGTTAATTTGAAACCAAAACTGGATACATTGCACCCATTCTATTGTTGACCGGTCAATAAATGTTTCATTGTTGACAGGTTGCCTCCTCGTCAAAGCATGCAGTGAACATGACGTTTTGTGGACCGGCACGTGATACGGTTTTGACCAATCGGCAAACAGAAAAATTGAACTTTGACACTAACTATATAACAATATCTTATCTTTACAATCTTTATCCCACTCCTTTTCCCCATCCTAACCCATATCCAAACCATAGTCCGAATCCTAATCTAACAATGACGTAAGGCTGTGTAGCAAAGGTTTTATGACTTTAAACCGTTATACATTTATTTGAATTAAGGATTGATACATGCATTGATACATGTATTTGAATTAAGGATTGATCATAAAAATGCCGATTAGTTGAAGATTATTTGAAGACTACAGTGTAATTATACTGAATAATCGGCGGATTAATTAATTGGCATCTACCGATTATCGTTGTTCCCAGTCATAATAGACAACTGCATGCGTGTGCGTTAGGGAGTGGTCATTATTTATGGGGAGGG